AGACATAAAACTAAATGGAAGTTTAACGAGCGAAAATGTGAGAGAGAATAAATAGTGACAAGGAAAAACATGAGTTGAATAGATACGTGAGATTACACAGAGTGAATGCACTTGTACCAATACCAAAGATTTGCAGTCACATCTCCGGTAGTTCTTCCAGCTGACTGTCAACAATTTTATGAACCAATATCACTTTTTCATTTGACCGACCCAAACACATTTTAAACCTTAACATGTGCTGGCTAGCATTGTCCCTGGAGAAAGGCGATGGCTTTGTATGCCATCACGTGTTCTAGCCATCTCAACCTATTCAGCTTCCCTACCTTGAAGACTAACCCTCCCCACCTAAACATTTATGCGTAACCTCAACAGCACTCGCCATATTACACTGCTTTACTCATGAGATAGAACGCGGACACCTATAATCAAATACCGGTATTATTTTCATATTTTACAGCATCAGAGGTTACTTCTCATAGTCTAGGTGGACAATATCATCAGTAAACTGTGAGTTGATGAGACTATTCCCTGATAAGTCTCTAAAGTCAATTACAGATTATTCTACTAATATATGTGTGATTGAATTGAACTGATATAAGGATGACAGTTTAAGAATTCAGCCTTGTATTACATCCCACTCGGAAATGTGTTTTCTCGGATAATTCGCAAACAGTATTCAGTGAATAAAAAACATTCTGTTGGCTTAATGAAACTCGTAAACTGACGCACTACTTTTGCAGGCACTATAGTATTTCCTCAATAAAGTGAGAATTGAATATTTCGGCTGCATAAAACGAGTAAGTAGTATCCTGGGAATACCAATGACTACAACAAGTCTAGGAGTTATGCACTACAACTTTTACTTTACTGAATACACCAGCAGACTTTACATAAACACTTGACAGATCAAATTTATGCAGGAAGTCAGTAAGATTTAGTAGACTAAAAGTGCTTTCGGTTTCCACAGGAGTTCTCCGTGCCGAATTTATTCCTTCAAGGGCCTACAGAGATTAATTCTTCAATTAAAAACCACTGACGTGGAAGAAATTCCATTCTTCATTACTACACTTAATGAAAAGACTCATGTTTTTTATTTTAAAAACAGGAGCATTCGTAATGTTTTACTTTATGTAAATGCAGTTACATACAGTTGCACTAAGAACTCAACGCAGCTCGATACACAATAGTATATATACAAATAAACTGAAAAATAATGTCCTCCTTACCTTCTGAACAACTTGTCCTTATTCCAGGATTATAAGTTTTTCACCTATGAGCCTGAGTTACGTCTACGAAATAGCAATATTACATCAGTTAAATCTTCCCCCAAAACCAAGGCCACTTGAAACCAATAGCAACATAGCAACAAGCGTCATTGAGGGGATATGCAATAAAGTCGCTCCCTGTAATAACATTCCCTCTATAGTAAATACAATGCTTGTGATGACAATTCGTCATTATCTTTTCATTGCGTTGATAGGTGCGTATATATTAGAAAAAAACTATCCTTGTTGTATTAGTTCTCCAAAATACTTTCACTAAGTGCCCATAACTCTGCTGAATACCAAGTGCTACTCGTGGCCCATGAAATACTTGTTCTTGCGTTCGTAAATAACTATCAAACTATTATTACATGGAGTAGTGAGATAGAAGGCGTATGAAATTTAGATATTAATGCTTATCTGAAATTAATGACACAATATATAGGTACATGTTTCATTTCCAAACAAGTAGATTTTATAGGGTAGTGTAGGGCTGAGCGTGGTGAGTTCATAGTGTATTCTTTACTGTATTTTGCATGAGTGAAATGTTTCTATTCAATTTTCGGCGAAGCCGCAATATCACCCTGCAGGGTTTCTTCAATGCACTCTCATAGGGAATAATACTTGGTACCGAGGAATCCAGCCAAAAGCATCTGTGACAAAGTCGAATGACTTTTTCAACTAAAAGCGGTTATGCTGATATTAAGTGTGATTTACCTGTAAACTGAGGGACTCTAGTGTAATACAGCACCATATGCTAGCAGGGTATTCTTTGTGTTTTACAGGTACAAGTAGAATTCATGGACTGAGCATTTGTTAAATATGGAGGCGACCCATTGAGTCACCTAGACGAAATGCGATACCTTACACACGCACCTTCAGATGTAGGCATGTGTCACTTCAATGAGCCCTGAACCATATCGCGTGGGCATTCCTTTAAATCTACCCTACCCTGTGCGCTCAATTATTGTTCGAATATGTGATGACTTGGTGCATTTCCTAGTTTCCCTATAATTACGGAATGTACATTATATTGAGGAACACAAATGTATTTTGTGAACACCAGTTGTGTTCCTTCTCTAGTCTTAACTGATGTCACATTGATTGACATGATTACAGGAATAGATTGTAACGTGGTGTCTTCTGCAGCTGCGAAACGTAGTTACCTAGTTTCGAATTGACATCTTGCGTCTAATCCTATTAACCTTTGAATATAGTTCTTCCTTCACGATATCTAGAAGTCAGGAGCAGACTGTCTTTGACAGATTTAATTTTACTTTGTGACTAATTGGTGAGTCACCCGGTGTTGTGTTAGTAAAAAACTAAAAACCTAAGTATTTTCTAGATATGAACGTGTTTACATACTTTGGCGACAAGTTAATCTTTGTATCAAGAAACCCTTAGGGATATTAACCTTAACTTATTAATTTGGATCCGAAAGTAAACACCATGTTACTAAGTTATTCAAAAGACAGAATGATGAGTGAAACAGTAGTCGGATACTTATTCTGACGAAACCGAATAATGATAATCATTTAGCCTACCAATATGCCGTTTACTTTCAGTCTTAATTCAAAGACAAATTTAGTTACTCACTAAACTAATAGTTTCAGAAGAGTGCTCTACTCCTGTCTTCGAGATAATTTGCCCGATTGTGTTTTACTTCAAAATATGTGTATAATGGCCAGTAGATGTTGCTTATCCAGTTATACTGTTTTTCAGTTATAATGTCCCACCTATTTCCTATCAAACAAAAGATCGCTTAAACCATCAACAAGTTACCATCATTTCTAAATAAATAACCTTAACTATTCGCATGTAAACGATGCTATAAACTATATCACTTACGTGATGTTTTAACTTTCAATCAATCAGTTTTCCCTTACATGAGCACCTGTTTCGATTTTAACCGATAGTCCTAACCTTTGACTACTGAATTAGTACGTTTTGTTATATACCATCCTTACGAAATATAGGTACTGATAATAATTACTGCTAACAGATTTATCACGAGAATGAGAATGTACTCCGTATTCACGACAATATACCTCAGGGGCGGACGTTTTTTCTAAATTCACTACCCAATACAACGCATGACCCTAACTCTGTAGCTCAAAACATTCTATGAAGTTAGTTGTGACTATTAACAAGTAGAATGTCTATATGGGGTATAGAGAATACATTTATTAGTGATTCAACACAAAATACAAAATCAACGGTACTGAAAACCGCTTTCTTTAGCAACGAATCCCACGAGGTCACTGGAACTACAGATTACCTAAAAAAGAAAACAATGGTTCACAGGATGTATACATGAATATAACTACCAATATAATATTAACGAGAGCAAAGTAAGAATTAATGGAAGTTTATACCAATGCGCGATTACATCAGTCACTATTTTTGACACAAGTGGAAATTTAGGCGAAGTAATAAGACGTAATTTGTCTGAATCGTGTAGTGTTGTATTTGTGCAACTTCTTTTGGACAATCTGCTTACGCATGGACTTGTCATGGGAATACATATGAAATTAATACAGTTAGGGGGTTAGACATAAATTTGGGTGGAATTAAAATCGCATATTAAAGGCCAAAATAACAATGAAGCTCACTAAACCAAATATCAGAGGCATTAATACATCTACCCTGACTGGTATCAAAACGAAGTTTAGCAAAGAAGGTTTCGTGTGATGACGAATAATTTTGGAACTCACAAAGGCGGTTTGAACTTCTTAATCACACTTGGGCTTCCACAAACTTTAGGATGCGATCCAAACACGTTTTACAGATAGGTTTAAAAATGTACCAAAGTCATTTCTAGATCCTGTCTCTGTAAGACGTTTCGCAATAGAGGAGCTGGGTTTCCTGTTCTTGCCATTAATAGCTTCTGAAGATTACATTCGCTTCTGGAGGCATTTAGGAACATGATGCGTAGCCTTTACTTGCAGAAATCGACGAGCTCTCCCTAAATGGATACAGCAAACACTTTCAAACCTTCGGTCCATGGATTGAAGAGATGTCGGACAATACTTCTACGCGGTTTTACAATAATTTTGAGAATTAACTTCGAAAAAACGCATATAATATGGCGCCAGGACAATAACAAAAATCGGAAGTTTATGAAACCAAACTCAATAATGGGGCGAAATGACATATACCCAAGATGTCTTTACGTACCTGATCACGAGAATGGTATTCAAACCCACCAAATTACTAAAATGTTGCATTTAAAAACTTTGGCAGAAAACAGAGAAAGTTATAGGTGATCGTAAAACATTGAAGTTTCTGCCCATTTAGGAACATTAATTTTCGCTTGTATCTACGCATTCCATTGACTTTCAGCTATCAAAACACCACGCAAAAGTGCAGAAGGATGCACAAATTCGATATCAACCATATTATTCGGTTCCTGCAACAGTAATAGCTGCTGCACAATAGCTGACATGGAAATTTGCGATCAAGTACAGGTTTCCGTCAAGCTGCAAAGAAGTTTATCGAATGACAGTCGTCGAAATGTAAGCGATGCTTACTTGGTATGCCAAAAAATCATTGCATGAACCATGTATTTAAGCGTCCTGTCACACAAGCAATCACTGAATGCTCAAGAACAATATCGGGGTGAGTATATACGTTGTCTCGTGTTATATTTTCCGCGACTAATTTTTTTTCGTCTTTCATTGGCTAGAATGGTGGCGGTCAATTGGAGTTTGAATTGTCCTTGGGTGCGTGCTGTCGGGTGCTGTATTTGCGTGGTTGTGTTTGCGTCGTTTGCCAGCATATGTGATTACTGTAAACGTGTATGAAACTATTGTAACGCTTTGTTTTTCTTTGTTTGTGCATGTACTAGGCATTATTTGTCGTACAATTCGTTGTTTGGTCTATTGGTTGCTTGCGATGTCAACGAACCGGTGGGTTCTTGTGTTTTTCTGTAATTTAGGTTATACGTGCGGCATTTTCTTGATGGTTATCGATCATCCCTGTATTTCAATGTTGTTTTTTTACGATTTATGTTGGAATAGTTGTGACATAGATGGATCCTAATTGATAACTTTATTTTAGTCCGTTGCAGGTAGTCAATTCGAGTGACAGGAGCACAGATTTAAGTGGAATTTTTGCTGAATACATACTTGGAAAGCGTTTCTTCAGCTGGGATGAATTTGAGAAGTCATTAGCAGAATTTCAAAAAGTGAGGAAGTCATATAATGCTAACAGTGTAGTTATCCTACACTCACTATGTTCATAATTGCAGCAAAACGATGCCGGATGCCAGGTTTAAGTACGCTTATGTTGGTTTTAAATGCACTTTTGGAGTGAATCGTACAAGACGTGGATTGAAATTGAAAAACAAGTCGTAAGAAGAAGTGTAATATGATTTCATGAATATTGCAGGTCTAAATGTTGCAATTGCTCGTCTTCATTTCGCGTGGTTTTGCATCATAGTGAATACATAATTGCTTCCCACAATATGGTGCATAACCATCCATGCAGCAGGGTGTACATGCAGAATGACCCATGGTATAGACGACTAACAGTTGAAGAGAAAGAAAATATTGAACCACTTCTTCAGCAATCCCACTCATCCGATGAAATAATAATGCATGTTAAGGAGAAGTACAACAAGGATATAACTCGCATTGACGTTAAAAATATGAAAGCCGCAGTGAATAAAGGTAACGTTGACGTACTTGTTACATACTTAAGGTATTTCGAGTCGTCGTGACATTTTTGAATTCCTAAAATCCCGTGGGAAGTTAATGGAGTATTATTCCGATGAACCGATCAGGAATTCACTAACAAGAATTTGTTTTGCAACTTATGAGCAAATGGAATTGTATAAACAGTTCCCTGAAGTTGTTGGTATCGACTCGACGTATAATACGAATAAGGGGAAGTAAGTTTACCAATTCATTAGTCAACGTGCAGGTATTCTTTGTTCCAGCTACTTGTGACGGATAATTTTGGTCGTGGACGACCAGTTTTATTTGCGTGGACTAGAAAAGAATTCAAACGAGATGTAGTTTGGATATTAGACTGTTTCCGGCAAATAATGGAAGACACCTCGAAAACAGAATCCTTCATTATGGATTGTGCGCAAGCTGAAATAGCAGCCGTCAAGTTAACGCACAGACAAGCGCACATTGTTTTGTGTTCTTTTCATGTTTGCCGAGCTTTCTGTCGGAAAGTAAGTTTTTCAAAGCATACTTTACATTTTATTCGTAGACAAGAAATCCCATTGTGAAGAACTACTTATGCCGTCTAGTGCAGTGTAAAAGGAGATCAGAGTAATGCCTCTATTGTTCTCATTTTGCAGATTTAATTTCTACTTCAGAGTTATTAGCAGATTGGACGCTAATGTCAGTCAATACCTACAACGTCGTTGGATGCATCGACGAGAATTGTGGGCGGCCTGTTTCAGAGATAACGTGCTGACTTTTGGGAACGATACAAATAATCGTGTCGAGAGTTCCCACAAGCAGATGAAACGGTTTTTGCAAAGATCTGATAGTCTGCATAAAAGTATGCTAAAGGTGTATAAATGGCATAAACGAAGTTTTTCAATAATACAGCAGGAGGCGAATATTGCTCAATCACGATGCTTCACGTATCCCTGTTCACAAAGTTTAATCCCAATTATACGGTTGCTTACACCATACGCCGCGAGGAAGGTAATACGTGAATACCAATTGCGACGATGGGCTACTGTTGAGTTCGAATCCGTTGATTATGTATTTTTCAAAGAAAATGGGAAAACAGTGCAGGTTGATCTGAGTGCTTGCACCTGCACGTGCTTTACATTTCAGACCTGTCGGTACCCCTGCCGACACTTGCTTTTGGTCCACTTAAGAAAGCCGTATTTCACAGGTATATTTGCGTTTTTATGACTACGTTTTTAATGTATAATGTAATGTAATAATCAGTTCATAGTTATCTTAACTTTTTTTGTTCCACCTTTTGTAGTTAACCATGTGATGCATAATTGTAAACAATGGACGTGGTCACGCAACTTGTTCGCATCTCAAAGTACGTCAGCAGTTATCCCTCGAAATCGAAGTAACATATACGATACCAAAAAGAAGATTATCAATGCGGGTATGGACAGAATTAATGACAAATTTGGAGAAGTGTTTGCCAATGCTTATGCAGACGGAGTAATCGCAGGAATCAATCGTGTTCTTAATATGTAAATAAACTAAATTTTTGTCATAATGAAAATAAAATTTTCATGTAAATTTTGTTGTCTTTCAATTCATGTGTTCACTTTGTGAGCACGGCATGCTAGACCGGTGCTCTCTAGGACTTTCACTACTAACAATACGTAAGTGTAATTGTGTAGGAACGATGTCGGTCAGCATACGTGTTAAATTATAAGTATTTCAGTTAGCTAACGTGCATAAGTATCATAGTCATATACAAGTCTTTAGGGACAATAGTAGGCATACCTTAGGCACTGCATTCGAGTCCCAGTTCTTATACGGTTACGTGTATTCGAAAGTATTGCATTACTAATGTTTCACTTAAAGCGTGATGTCAATCCATATGACTAAGGCTGTTGACATGTAGCGTAAATTCAACTCTACACCAGACGAATTATTGAATTCGTTGAGCTTTAACAATCGTATTTAGATTTAGCTTACACTAAAATATGCCACCAATTACTTCGTCAGTTCTTATTAATAAGTCATGTCTGCACCTAGTCATCATGACAAATACATCTAAACTCAGATATAATAAGAAAGGTCTGGTAAGCAGGATATTAAATGTATTTAATGAAAAAATAATAACAAGCAAATGTGTTTACGCAGTCGATTGTCGGAATAATTTGTGCAATGTCGAATCTCTGTGACTGGGGTGATTGACGTTACCAGATATCTACAAATAAGTAAACAAAGTGTTTTTTAAATAGCTGAAGTAAGGAAGAAGTAATATTAAAGGTAAACGATTTATATCTGCCTACCTTTGCTGAAAATGGTTTATTCTCCTTTCTCATTCTTTGGTAATGACATCATTATTCTGGGGTTTTCACTGCAACACACATTATTCCTCTTCTAAAGGATAGCAGCAAGCATATAGTAATAATTTCAAATTTCGTTTAAACCAATGTTTACAATGAATGCATGTCATTTCTACAGGCGCAATAAGTTATGTTATAAACTGCAATCGTGAAGTATCATGAATTATAAGAGTTAAATTGTAAACCCTTAATAATGAACACCGTACATTTGGCTAAGTGCTATGTCGTTGGAATGTGAGTATACATCTGCAATGTTTAATGCCAACCATATTGGTGTAAGGATAGAAAATATGATGTTTTCTATGAAAATACAGCTTTGTTCCAACACTGCTGTTGTTGTGTTTCTAATAAAAGCAAATAGACTGTAAGCATAAAGGCATATCCAGTTAACATAAAATGCAGTGTAATAGTGCACAAATGAAAAGACCATAGTGAAGTAGATAAGTGATACTTCAGTGAGAGGTAAATTGAAAGATCTGCAACCTTATAATATGGAAGACAACCTGACATGTAAGATGTCTCACAAATTTCAATAGGGCCTGTGGGGTACCATGGATGGTTTGGCGTCAATCGCAGCTTTGGAATAATGAGTTACAAATGCTAAAGGTAACAACCAACGAAACTGCAGTAGTATTTTCTAGCTGTTCAGCATTTTTTCCTTTAATGCAGTTTCTTATCAACAGTTTGCAGTATTCAGAACATCACAAGTTGCTTACAGATAACTTGTCTAATAATAACTGCGTTAAATATATGAGCCATAAGTGCATCTTCCACATCTTTCATAGCCACAATTAAGTCATTAAGGATCTCACAATATCTTAGTGATGTGAAGCAAAATAATTTTTAAGATTGATATAACCTATGTAACAGGTGTAGTAGTTGTACGACACAGCCGCCAGCTACTAATCGACATAAATCTGGTACTAATTTTAAGTACTCTGACATTTGAGAAGGACTATTTATACTATTCTTCCAGACACAATGAACACTGATGTCAATATACTCTGATGCCATTTCATGCACTGAGCAATTAAGGCCTTGTGAAATTCCATGTGCAAATGTCAATTAAACTATTTTCACATCTTCGCCCAAGCACTTTTAACTAGGAACTTCATCAAAATAGATATAATCACCAGGAAATTCAGCAGCCTGTCTCATTCATCGCATAATGTCGTCGATGTGTTATGGAATATTTCAGTCATCCCGGATGATAACAGAAAAGTTTAACATGTTCAAAGCACACATCTAACCTATGTCTGCATGCTATTTATCTTTCATAGGCCAGATTCTCATAGATTCACTGGAATGACAACAGCCATTGACTGCAGTATATTTACAACCTTAAGATCTGAAACAACTGGAAAATAAACAAACCCTCAACGCACTATAATGCAAATAATAGTCTTTCTATGCGAACTTTCTTAAAAAGGATGACTTCTTCATTGATAATTCGTCCGAGCTATAATATACAATTTTACGCTCTACTAAGAACAAAATACAGCAAAATACTGCCATCCGGCTACATAAGTCTAAAACTAGTCAAATATAATCTATTTCCAAAAAAATAGGTGATTATAACGTCTGTTGACGTGAGCGCGGTAACCGATGGCATTGCGCGATAACACCTGGTGTCGGCCTATATCCTCACTCACAATATCGAACAACAATTTTCATATGGTGACTCTAAAGAATAGCGGCCCAAACCGAAACGACCTTCAAACAAAAAGTGACCTTGAGGAAGGAATCAGCTGACTGTATCATTTTCGGAAGTAATCATGGATGTTTTCGATTACTTTTTGGATAACGGACTGATAGCTTTGTCGAAAATTTGCCAATGCGGAGGAGTTATGCATATACAAAAATAGACAGAAGCCATTGATGGCTTTGTATACAGATGTATTGAGTGCCGAAGGAGGAAATCGGTTCGAGAAGGTTTGTCGTTGTTTTTTAGTTTACAGATCCCTTAGGAACTTTTCTCTCAAGGTCTAAACTACCTTTGACGAAAATTTTAATGATTTGTAACTTCTGGGTCCTGAAAAGAGCAGTCACAGCTACAGCTTATGAAACAGAAAATTCAGAGGTGTCAGCAGTGCAATGGTACAACTGCAGAGATGTTTCCTCCTGGAAAATGAACACCCTAACTCAAGTTCTCGGGGGAGTCGGCAGCATAGTCCATATTCATGAGACTGTACTTATAAAAAGGAAATACAACCACGGGAGATTAAAAGCAAACCAGCAGTGGATACTGGGTATCTACGACACGACACTGCGCAAAGGGTATAGGGAAGCGATTCCCAATCGCAGTGCAGCAGCATTAGTGCCTATTAATTAGCGTTTGGTGTTGCCGGGGACGACTATTCATACAGATGAATGGAGCGAATACCGTCAATTATCGAATCATGGGTACATTCATCATGTTGCGAATCATACGGACGGTTTCCGGAATCCTTTGGATGGAACCCACACCAGTTCCAGTGAAAGATTTTGGAGTCGTCTAAAAAGACGTATAAGAGCGGTTAATGGATCGAGAAATCCTATGATTCACAGTTACCTGGATGAATTTATGTGCCGAAACTGGTTTCATATGACTATGAAGACTCCCATGAGAAACTGGGAGGTTTTTTTGCAACATATACGCGAACGCCATTCTTTGTGACTGTTTATTATGATTGCATTACTTCTATATAAACCGTTTTTTACAATTATGCGCCTTTCTTTTTGAGCCTTCGCATTGGCCGAAGTTGTCCCTGTCAAGGTCATTTTTGCGTTAAAAGGTCGTTTCGGTTTGGGCCGCTATTCTTTAGAGTCACCTTTCATATAAATTCATCCAACAAAAGCAAAATAAGCACCGAAATCGCGTCTTTTGCGTATGCCTGGACGACTAGCTCCAAATCAAATCAACGAAACCGAGCAAATGCCGTCAAGGTCAAGCCAGAGGCGCCACTTCAAACAGGGGATATGCCATATCAACGCCCGCCATACCCAGAGTTATGGTATCTGATATCATGGAGGAATTGACAGAGAATGCGGCTTGTAGCAAAAATGATTTACTGACACTTCAGAAGTCAATAGCAGAACTACAGAGCAAGTTTGACAGCATTATGCCTCTCACGCAACTGTGTGACCCACCACAAAACATCTGTTTTGAATCACTAATCAAATCCGAGCGCATAATTGACTATTTGGCTGAAGAAGCTGTTAAGAGGATTATGTCTTCACATAACGTCTTGGCCTATAACATTCCAGACAGAGAGCCGATTGCCAAACTTAAGAATTCGTGTCTAAAGGCTTGTAATATGTCGTTGACAGAATGTCAGGTTTTGCGTCTTCGTAAGAAATCTGCAAACCACCCGTGTCCTGTGCTTTTCAAGTTTAGGTCTACTGAAGAAGCCAGGAATTTTCTGAAATCGGGTAAGACAATAGGCTCTTCAACACCATACACTAACATTAGGGTTGCACCTGATTTAACACCATGCCAAAGGCGATGCCGCTCAGGAACAGTGAACCCTGATAACTCTAATAGGATAACTGTAGATGATGTTCCGTGCGTTATTCCGTCTATTGAAATATCTGATCACGGCATGCAACAGA